GATTTCACTAATCGCATGTTCGGGCCACAATCCCGAAAGAATCCGAAAATACGCACATGTCCCGCTCGTGTCACTTCAGTGACACAGTTTTAGTTTGACACAAGTTTTAACACGGCCAGTTTTGGAAACTACCAAAGCGTAACGGAAACGTAGCCCCTTCGCGAACGCTTCAAGTCTCCAGAAAGTACCGGAAACGGAGCCGTTTGACGCAAACAGGGTCGTGTCAAAACTTGCCAAACCTCCCGACGCGCGTGCAGAAACATGCCAAAACAAACAAGAAGTCAACCAAGCCACCAACCCAAGCAGTGTCAAAACTTGTGTCAAAACCCCCCGTGTCAAAACTTGCGCCAAGACTTTGGCAGAACTACCGTGCCAAAACCTTTCACCATCTACTGCATATAGCCACAAAAGTTTTGACACTCTTTTGACACCAAACAAGTTTTGACACGGAAAAGTTTTGACACGGGGGAGTTCTGACACAAGTTTTGACACAGCCCTGTCTGATGATTTGTTTGCCTTCTTTTGCACTTTTCCTTGCGCGCCGGGAGTTTTACCACAAGTTGTGACACAAGTTTTGACACAGTCGTCAACTTTTTGTTTGTGGTTTTTCCGTTTTTTGTTGTGATTTGGCAATTGTTTTGACAGGCAAGTTTTGCCACACCTTTTTGGCACCGCTGGTTGTGGCGCAAGCTGCGACGCACAGCTCATCTTATAGGCTGCGTGGGATTCCTGCCTTAATCGGTCCCTCCCCCCGCCAAACAGCGCCAACAGTCATGTTGACCCTCTTTAGTTGGAAACGTGCTGGCCTTGGCTTGGCTTTACTTGACTTAGTATGGCCAAGAGTAAAGTTAGCATTGGCAACACTAAGTCTTAGAATTCCATTGCAAGATTGGGTGCTGCCACGACCTAATCTTAGACCCCGAGGATTCAATCTAGCATTGGCAATGCCAAGATTAGTGCTACCAAGGCTAAACCTTAGATCTCAGATTGAATTTAGTGTTGCCAAGTCTTAATCCTTAGATTCCCAGTACTTAATTTCGCTGTCGGGCTGGTTAACCGTCAGTGCAGAATCCACGTTTCGGAGCAGTGCAAAACCTACGTTTCGGAGCAGTGCAAAACACACGTTTCGGTTGCGCGCCGGCAGCCTTTGCGTTTGTCGGATCCACGCCAGTCAAATGGTAAGCGCCCGCTCACAGGCACCCGCTCAGCACTGAATCCATGCCAGCCACATGGTTAGCACGCCCTCTCAACCGCGCCCACCAAATCACAAGCACACCCGCCTCACTCCCGCTGAGCACTGAATCCATGCCAGACAAATGGTGAGCATGCCCGGCTCACGGGCACTCGCTCAACACTGTATCCACGCCAGCCAGATTCGGTCCAACAAGCCCGACGGTTTCGCGCGGCGGGCCAAGAATCAATTTTGTATTGCCAAGCACCCGCCTCTCATTCTCAGTACTTATTAGGTATTGCCCAGACTTCATCTTGGATTCCCAACACTTATTTTCGTAATTGCCAAGATTAAGCTTCGCACTGCCAAGATCCTTTGAGCTGGGAAGGGCCTGGGTGAAACACCCTTCAAAGCAAACGGCTACGGCTTTGCTCTGGACATGTCACCCGCCCCCCAAACAAAAAGAACACAACATTGCGTGACATTAAAGCGGACCCCCAAAACAGTCAGACTAAAGAGGAGCGGCCTGGCCTTGTTTTTGCTGTTGGCTTTGATCTGGATATTAAAAGAGGGCACAAAAACAGTGAGATTACAAAGGATCAGGGGTTCTGCGGGCAATGGCTGCTTGGCCTTGTTTTTTGTTATATATGGGGGTTTGTTGTAAAGATAGGTTTGGGGGACACTTGCAACCCTAGATCTGAGGCTTCGGTCTGGTAACTGCTTCTCGAGAAAGACGGCTCGCGTGCGATGACCGGTGTTCCACTTCGAGGTGGGGCAAAAGCTTTCCAGAATAGAGGACCCCCGTATAGCCCCAGGATCCTGAACTGGGAAAACATTTTCTTAATAATAGCGGCCTCAATTAACATAAGCGTGTCCATGTGGCAACGACCCATTGCTCACACACACTCAGGCACTCCCGCCAAGGCTCATGTGTCCTTTTTAGCAACCAAAAACCAAAACACATTTTTGTAGGCAAGAGCCAGGGCGAGTGCCCAAAAAAAAGTTCTTGACTGTTACCAAGTTACCAAGGCATCAGTGTTGCTCCGAACTGTTTCTTCTCCTAGGTCATATCTGTGGCAAAACCTTGAACAATTAGCAATGTTTTTTTGGGGCTGGAAACAGTTGTCTGAATGGTCGCATCCCTTTTTAGCTTGACACGGTGGTGCCCTAGTTGCAATTAACAGACCTCACGAAATGGCATACCACAAAGCCGTCAGATTCACGAGGAGGATCAGGGGCTCCTGCAGCCTGCTGGCGACCCTTCTGTGATGGCTTGGCATGTTTTGTGAGGTGTATATAAACAAATGATGGTTTGTTTCCTAGATAAAAAGCCTCTGAGCAAAAACAAGGTGTCGGCGTCCGAACCGCCCCCTGCTTTTTCGCAGTCATGTCTGAACCGTTGTTTGCGAAGCGGACACTGGTGCCCAAACTGGTCAACATGAGTGTGCTCAAACCCTCACGACGATGTTTTTTGTTTTCTTTGCGTTTCGCTGGGCGAAATCACTAAAGCGCAGATATCGAAACAGGATACACCTTTCTGAACAAGCCGCCGAGGCGCTCCAACACGAACAGGATACGCTTATTATCATGCGCGTGGCGAAAAGCAGTGCTGCGCGCATGCCATCGAGCGGATGCGCTTATCATGCGCAGCCGCGCGAGTGCGCTTACCATGCGCGCGCAGAAAAGCATTGCTGCGCGCGCGCCGACTCATGCGCGTGACACTGAGCAATGCTGCGCGCACTCCGTCGAGCGGAGGTGCTTATCATGTGCAGCCGAGCGGATGCGCTTACCATGTACGTGACGAAAAACATGGCTGCGCGCAGCAAAAATTCTACTCATGCGCGTGACAAACAGCATTGTGCGCGCACGCAGTTGAGCGGACGCGCTTCCATGGACGTGACGAGAAGCATCGCTGCGCGCGTGCCTTCGCGTGCATGTGCTTATCATGCGCAGTTGAGCGACGCGCTTAACATGCGCGTGACGAAAAGCATCGCTGCGCGCACGCAGTGGGGCGGATGAGCTTATCATGCGCTTGACTCAGTTAGCATTGCTCCGCGCACGCAGTCAAGCGGATGGAAAAGCATTGCAACGCGCGTGCCGTCGCATACGGACTCCAGAAAGCTGTTGACCAGCGAAAACTGCACAAACACATGGGCCGGCACCAAAAACAACAACAAAGTTACATTTTAGAGAACCCATACAAGTTGGATTGAAGAGGGCCGGGGGTTCCTGTGGGCAACCCCCTGCTTGTGACTGTTTGGCCTTATTGCTTTTTGCAATCAGGGGCTTAAATAAAGATTGATAGGCTTGGGACCACGTGCCAAACTGGATGTTCTAGATCTAAGGCTTCGATTTGTTGTCTCCAAAACATGAAATCACATTGTTCACATTTTTTGGAGTGGGCAAAAACACTTGCCATAATAGAGGAACCCAAGAACAAACTGTCTACAACAGCGGCCCCAGTTAAATAGGGCCAACATGTTTGACCGCAGCTCCTAAAGCTAACCTTCGCAACACCACTGAAAAGAGTTTGACCAAAAAAGGGCCGCTATCATTGAGGCTATCATCGTCACATATTTCGCCATAACGTTAGCCTCCCAGAACCTACTTTGCAAACTTGTTTGTTTGCCTGTCTGAAGACCAAGCCTGTTTTGGAGGCCACTTTCAAAGAGGCCGCGAAGTTGCATAAGGGGGACATATCTAAATTCTCGTGTTGGAGTGAAGGGCACATCCAAGGCAAAATCTAGAAGCCGGCAACACCTCCTGCTAGAACGCATGTGCTATTTTTACACACTTTTTCTAGACAAGAACGGACGGTTAGCCAAACAAAGGTTCTTAACAGAAGCTACGTTTGGTTGGGGGGGTTGGTGGGGGGGGGGGGGTTGCGCCGGGTGGGGCGGGACAATGACGTGCGTGATCTGCAAATTGAGTAGGCGGACAACAACACTGAAATGAAAATGACACAGAGAATGCGGGCCCCTGCGAAGAATGAACTTTGATTGCTGGCACATACGAAAAAGCCCTCGAAAGGAAAAACAACATGAAACACGAGAAAACATGAAATGACTGGTAACCCAAAAGGAATAGTAACAAGTTGACTGCGACTAGGACCTGTGCTCCCAACTTCGCAGGTGCAGCTATTAGAGCTGGTCGGCCTCCGCACGTCTATTTAAAAATTGCGCGAATTGTTTTGCGCCATGTTCAAGAAGCTGGCGGAGCGTACTTTGCGTCTTACTTCTACACTGACTGAAACCTTACTGTGAGCCGGAGCTCCGTGAGGGCTTCAGTCGAGCTGCGAAAGCTGGCCGCGATTTCCAGTTTCGAAATCCGAGCTGCAACTACGAGAGCATACTCCGCGTACTCAAAAGATGCACTTTCCAAGCTCCAGATGTGGGAGGGCGCTTCGCAGTACTTTCTCTCCGCGCCTAAACATTGCGAGCAGCTGAGTTGCGAGCCGCAGCTGGGCTAAAAGTCTTCCTCGCGTTACACGTAAAAGTTGTAACTGGAACCTACTACTACTCCTACTCCTCCTCCTACTCCTACTCCTGCTCCTACTGTTTGAAACCTTAAAATATTCACGAAAGGTTTGAGGGCAAATAAATTCCTGAATCTGAGCCGCAAAGCGCAAGTTAGACCCTAAACATAGTGCAAGTTATCCGCTAAACCTGAACCTTTGCCCCCCAAAACCTGAGCACCTGAGCCCTAGACTGTGGGTCTGAGGGCAAGAAAAACCCTACACCTAAACCCTAAACTGAAGAACTCAAACCTAACCACTAAAGTTTGAAACCTTAAAACCCTAAACCTACACCGGGAATTGGAGCAAAGTGGCTCTGGGCCATCCACGCGCGCTGCTGGTCCTTCTTCTTCTTCTCCTTCTTCTTCTTCGGTGCAGGTGGGGGGGTGTTACTTGAGTTGTACACGATGGACCCTTACAGCAATGTAGTGGCTTAACCCGCATTCTCACAGAGAATAGCTGCGCAGTCATGAAAGAGACATCAGAATCAGTCTCCGCGCCTTGTGTTCTGATTGTTTGGGAAGGTGTTAGTCTCCTTTGAGCCCTGTTTGCGCTACACAGGGGGGGGGTTCGGGCGGGGGGGAGATGGTACCGTTCTTGCTCATTGAAAACACCTCTTATGAATTCTGTGCAATCGTGGTGACTCTACTGAACGGCGTTGTTCGCTGATTGATTAAAAAGCTCGTCTTCTTGCTGCTTTTCACATGTTGGGACTAAGATCGGTGGATGTGGTCCATTTTCGTTCCTTCCAAAGACAAAATCACAATTGCTTGGCCCAAATCACAATAGAATTGACCACGTCCACCGAAATGGTCCTACTACTACTACTACTACTACTACTACTACTACTACTACTACTACTACTACTACTACTACTACTACTACTGCTACCCGCAGCCCGCAACAATTGCCGTCACCCCCTAATCCATCTTTGTCCTGCCCAGGGTTTTGGTTTACAGTCCTGGCTTAAATAAGTTTAAGGCTCAAGTTGAGGTTAGGGTTCTAGTTTAGGGTTCAGGTTGAGCTGAGGGTTCTAGGCTTAGGTTTAGCGCCCATTCAGTTCAGGGTCTAGGTTGGTGTCTTAGAAGCTCTTCCAAATGGAATCGACAGCTGCCGTCTCTTGGCTGTTTGAGCCTTATGAGCCTGAGCCTGACCATGACTGATTCGCTTCCAGGTTGCTCTACGTCGTCCGACGCGCTTGCAGCGCCTGCAAGTGGCACGCGAAATTCAAGTCACGTGCCTTCAACGCAACCACCACCCAAACCACCAAGGTAGCTTCCTGAAAGTGTGCCGCCGAAGCAGCCGGATCTCAACCGCATACCGTCACACCAACAAGCTGATGTCATGCGCGTATCAATGAGCCTGCAGTTGCGCGCTTGCGAGGGATTACTTTCCATGGAATATATTCAGTCAGGCATGATCCTCTCAAGCACAAGGTGGGGTGTTTCGCTTTCACAGCCTGCGCCCAGCGCCGATGAAACCGACAAAGTGGGAGTCCCAAACAGTGCCACGATAATGCGCCAGAGCGGTCTCTCCTTGGACCCCAGACACGAGTCGCAGAACAACTTTTGGCCCTTACAAAAGAACCCCCTGGTCATCCACCACGCAGGTGAAATTAAGGGGAAGGCCAAATCGGTTGGTCCAACTGAAATATTGCAAAAACACCTCTCAGCGCAACCCTATCGCACGCCACACTGCTGCGTCACGCCTTTGGACTTGGCTTGCTTTGGCCTGCGCAAGGAATTAACATGGTGGGGTCTGGGCACCCATTGGGACAAAGATTGAAGAGGGCTCTTAACAGGACTACTAAAAGGACCCAGAGGGTAAGGGCAGCATGTTGCTTTCCACGGCTTTTCCTTGATGGGACCTTTTCCTAACCATGGAGGGGGCCAACCTCTAAAAATGAATTACACGTTCAAAGGCGGTCCATCGGGATGTTGGATAGGACAACGAAAGCGGTCACAGGGAAACCCCTTCCCTCCCGTTCTTCGCCTTAAACTTTGGAGGTAGTGAAAGCCCGGCCCGTAGATCAGTGGTTGCTTTGCTTGCAATAGCCTACCAACAATCTACCAGCTTGGCCACAGTGACTGAAGGCTGGAAGAGCTGGAGGCTTGCTATTTTGCGGACTTCCGGAATCCACCAAGTTTCAAAAGTAGCACCCGTTTGGGGCGAATTGCAATGGCTCGTTCGATCCCTTAAGGGCAAAAGGCAGACACCGTCTCAAAAGGTTTCACCACCAGACCTGTGCATCATACTCTTTAACACGGCAGTAAACCAGGGTAGCCACGCGCTTGGCTTTGGTCAGTGTGCGTTTTGATATGTGCAATCAAGGGCACCCTGCCACGCATCTTGCATTTGGGGGGCTACTTCCCTTATCTTTTAGGGCTGGATGGGCTTGGGTTAACGCCATGATGGCTATCTTTCACAGCCGGGTATCAGCGCCATTGGCCCAAGAATGTTTGGGGCGTCCTGGGCTTGTTCTTGACTTGTTGGGGCTTGTCTTGGGCTTATTCCTGGCCTTATCAATCGAGGGCCAATAGACCCTTCATAAGGTCTTAAGAAGGTCTTAACCGCTGAGCGCACCAAGTTGAAGGGTACTGGCGATAAGCCGCTTGGAGACTCTGGCGAAGACTCTTACCCCGAGAAAACAATCAGAACATGTGTCACCCGCAGGCCTGAAGCAAAAGCATGCTGCCGTGGCCTTCTGCAAAGCTTTTGGCTGCGGGCCACCGACTTATAGAACTATCGGGGCCCTGTAGGGCCATATCCATTCTTCAGGGTAAGTGTTTATTAGACCCTGTAAAGAAACCTTATCAAGCCTGTGACAAGACTTTTATCAAGCTTATTCAGAAAAAAACACAACTATTCCCCCTCATAGCCATTTCGGGGTGTCCATGGTTGCACGCCCAGGCCTACATCCAACATACGTACCCAAGTACACGTATCACACCAGGAAAACCGTAATTTACTGAGAGGAAACTCTAGTCCACGTGGTGATGTGTTAGAATCGGCTCAAGAGGAAACATACGGAGCCTTGGCCTATGTGAGCCTCCCTGCCCGCCTGAGCCGTTTTGGCCTCTGACCTTCGTGTATGAAATGGCCTCGGCAAAGACGTGGCAATTCCGGCATCACGCTCTTCCTGACTTTGGACAGTATAACATGCCGAGGTACGCAGGTCACACTGTCCATTTTCGTGTCGCTTCGACAGCTTTTATAGAAGGCCGGAGAGTCTTTATGAGGACGCGTTCATGAGGAGTCTCGTAAACAGTCTTTACCAAGGAGCCCTTCAACAGGTAGCCTTTGCAAGAATTGTCGCACGGTAAGTAGAAATAGACACAGAACTCGCCAAAGGACAAAGATTAGAACTAATAAAAAAGAAACGACTAAAAACAAACAAACAAACAAACTAGATGAGATAAAATAAACAGGACATGGGAAAAAGAAAGCCACGAAAAAAGCGAGTAGAAAACCAGACATGAATGGTTGAAAGGTTGATAGTAAACATAGAACAGTTAAACATGTCTTAAACATGTCTTAAACATGTCTTAAACATGCAGAAAGAGATTGGCAGATGGCTGCTTGCATCATAAATTGTGAGAAGCGCGTTCAAGAACTTTTTTCAGCGAAAAAGCGCGTTCAAACACAACCAATGCGCGGGCTGATGAACAAACGAATGAACGAAATAACAAAGGAAGGAGACACTAGAAAGCCGGTTGGGTGGGTAAACAATAGCGCACTCCTGGAATGACCTGATGCCCGTTTATACGGCACAGTTGCCAGAGTTTCTAGCATCAGTTCAAAACGCAAACGCAAGAAGAACTGTCCAGCGCCAGCAGGCACCGCCTCCAGGTCTACTTGCCGTACACGATCACGAAGTACTGAGACAGTACATTAACACATACTTAAACAATCTAGAACAAAGCAAATTAAAACAAAAGAGCAACAAACCAGCTAATATCACAAAAAAGCTTAAGATGAAAAGAACGGAAATGGCTGGAAACAGATTGAACATTTGCTTTATAGAAAGGAACCTAACACAAACCTCGCCGGCAAAAAGCAAGCCGCTAATAGGAATAAGGCGCTCTCAACTTAAGAAAGCTACACCAGGAAAACAAACGCGAGATATGCCGGAAATCAAGAATGAGGGAACGACTCAACAAACTAATGGACACATCGTTGAAGAAAACCAATGAGCCGCAATAAAGCCATCTTGAAAGAGTCCACGACAGAACGAAACTCCAGCAGGTCGATCGCTTGCCTGACTGGCTACAAAACTGATTAATGGCTGACAAACCGACTCCTTCTTACTACTGCTGACTGCCTGACGGGTTAAAGACTGTTTGGTAGATGGGGCCAATGATTCATCGGGAGACTCATCGCGTTCCTTCAGCCACTCAACTCACCTCGTGTCATTGCAACCTTTTGGTTTCAGCTCATTACGTTCACTCACTCAATGCTTCATTCATTGCCTCATCTTAAAAATTCACTCATTCACTCACTCATTCATTCATTCGATCATTCATTCATTCAATCACTAATTCATTCATCCAATCATTCATTCATTCATTCATTCATTCATTCATTCATTCATTCATTCATTCATTCATTCATTCAGTTATTGTGTTTGGTCATTCGTTTCACTTCATTTGACTTCATGTCATTTGATTTCAGTTCAACTCATTTCGCGCCGTACATTCATTCATTCACTCACTCATTCATTCATTCGATCATTCATTCATTCAATCACTAATTCATTACTCCATTCATTCATTCATTCATTCATTCATTCATTCATTCATTCATTCATTCATTCATGAGCTCGTTCGTTCGTTGGTTCGTTCGCTCGTTCATTTCATTGGTTCGTTGATTCATTAATTTATTGGCTTCCTCTTTCATTCATTCCTCCATTCATTCATTCATTCGTTCATTCATTTATTCATTCATGCATTTATTCATTCGTTCGTTCGTTCGCTCGTTCATTTCATTGGTTCGTTGATTCATTGGTTTCTTCTTTCATTCACCCATCCATCCATCCATCCAACTCATTCATGCATTTCATTCATTAAGTAATTCATTCATTCATTCATTCATTCATTCATTCATTCATTCCTTCCTTCATTCATTCATTCATTCATTCATTCATTCCTTCAATCCTTCATTCATTCCTTCCTTCCTTCATTCATTCATTCGTTCGTTCATTCATTGATTCATCCATTTCATGCATTCATTCTTTCATTCATTCATTCATTCATTCATTGATTCATTCCTTCCTTCATTCATTCATTCATTAATGCATTCATTTCATTCATTTCATTCATTCATTCATTCATTCATTCATTCATTCATTCATTCATTCATTCATTCATTCATTCATTCATTCATTTCCTTCATTCAACTATTTGTTCATGCATTCGTTCATTCATTCATTCATTCATTCATTCGTTCATTTACTTAACTTTGTCAGTTCATTGTATTTCACTTCATGTCATGTGATTTTCATTTCATTTGATTTCATGCCATTTATTCATCCATTCGTGCGTTCGTTCGCCCGTTAATTTCATTGGTTCGTTGGTTCATTCGTTTCTTCTTTCATTCACCCATCCATCCATCCATCCATCAATTCATTCATGCATTTCATACATTAATTAATTCATTCCATTCCATTCCATTCCATTGCATTCCATTCCATTCCATCCATTCATTCATTCATTCACTCACTCACTCACTCATTCATTCATTCATTCATTCATTCATTCATTCATTCATTCATTCATTCATTCATTCATTCATTACATTAATTTCATTCATTTCATTCATTTCATTCATTCATTCATTCATTCATTCATTAATGCATTCATTTCATTCATTTCATTCATTCATTCATCCATCCATCCATTCATTCATTCATTCATTCAGGGCATCCATTCACTCATTCATTCATTCATTTCATTCATTCATTCATTCATTCATTCATTCATTCATTCATTCATTCATTCATTCATTCATTCATTCATTCATTCATTCATTTCATTCATTCATTCATTCATTCATTCATTCATTCAACTATTTGTTCATTCATTCGTTCATTCATTCATTCATTTATTGCGTTTGGTCATTCATTTCATTTCATTTAACTTCATGTCATTTGATTTCAGTTCAATTCATTTCATGCCGTACATTCATTCATTCATTCATTCATGAGTTCGTTCGTTCGTTGGTTCGTCCGCTCGTTCATTTCGTTGATTTGTTGATTTGTTGATTCATTGGTTTCTTGTTTCATTCATTCATTATTTCAGTCATTCACTCATTCATTCATTCATTCATTCATTCATTCATTTATTCATTCATTCATTCATTCATTCATTCATGTTTTCTTTCTTTCATTCTTTCATTCCTCCATTCGTTAATTCACTCATTTCATGCATTCATTCATTCATTCACTCATTCATTCAGTCATTCATTCTCTCCTTCATTCCTTCATTCGTACATTCATTCATTCATTTCATTCCACTTCACATCACTTCATGTCATTTCATTCATCAATTCGCTCATTCATTCCTTGATTATAACTCCATTCATTGAATCATTAATTCAGTCATTCATTCATTCATTTGCCATTCATTCATTCATTCATTCATGCGTTCATGCATTTAGTTTTGTCATTCATTTCATTGCACTTCACTTCATGTCATGTGATTTCATTTCAGTTCATTTCAGTTCAATTCATGCCATTCATTCATTCATTTATTCATTCATTCATTCCTTCATTCATTCCTTCAATCCTTCATTCATTCCTTCCTTCCTTCATTCATTCATTCGTTCGTTCATTCATTGATTAATCCATTTCATTGATTCATTCATTCATTCATTGATTCATTCCTTCCTTCCTTCATTCATTCATTCATTCCCTTCATTCATTCATTGATTCATTGATTCATTCCTTCATTCCTTCCTTCCTTCCTTCCTTTCTTCATTCATTCATTCATTCACTCACTCACTCATTCATTCACTCAGTCATTCATTCATTCATTCATTCATTCATTCATTCATTCATTCATTCAACCAGTCAGTCATTCATTCCAGTTGTTCATCCATCTGTTCATTCATTCGTTCATTCATTCACTCACCCATTCATTCACTCACTCACTCACTCATTCATTCAGTCATTCATTCATTCTTTCTTTCATTTTAATCATCCGTTTATTTAATTCGTTCATTTCATTCATTAGTTTATTCATTTCCTTTCCCGTTCTTTCATTTCAATTCACTTCATTTCATTTCACCTCGATTCAGTTAAGAAAGAAATAAGAATGAATGAAATACATAGTGAATGAACGAAATGAACAAGATGCACTGAAATGACAGGAATCTACTGAGATGAAAAAGAAAGAATGAGTCACTCAAACTGAGCTGAAAACGTATGAAGTGAAGCGACGGCTGAATGAACCCATCCTGTCACTTGATGAAGCAACCCTTAAACGGAATGGGTTGGTTCGTCATGAACCAGTTCGTTAATTAATTGGTTTTCTTGTTGCTAAAAGCTTACTCTCGTCGCATGTGAAGGTACCAGCAACTTCAGCTCGGTCTAAGCTCAGACAACACGAGTCGTGATTCTCAAACAAACGCACCCGACAAACGCTGACGCGTTATCGCATTAAGAAGTAATTGCCACTCCGAGTGGTCCAGAGCCAGTAGGGCAGCTCTGCAGCTCGCCGTGGGCAATCTTGGCGCGAGCGGCGGCCAGACCACTCACTTGGGAATGTGGGGGAGTAAACCTGCGCTCGCCCGTTCAAGGGCACAAAACCATCAAGTTGTTCGTGATGCCTTAGTGAACCTAATAACCATCTACTACATGTAGCAACATTGCAAAAACACAGAAGCGTTCCACAGCGAGTAGCTTCAGCTTTCCGACGCAGTGAACCCCAGCGTTCCGAAGCGACACATTCACCCCTCAGGACGAAGGGCGCCGTCATGCTGAGTTCCAACGTGCAAGATCTCATCTCATTCCGCTTCATTGGTTCGTTTTGCTTTCGCTGTGTGAATGGATGGACAAAGGGTGGATGAATGAATGACTGAACGAATGAGTGAATGAATGAATCAT